TATAAACGCCAAGAGATGGCGCTACATTCAGAATATATCAACTAAACGAAATATACACATTTTCAGTCAGTTTTTGATCTATTTTAATAAAAATAAATAAATGTAAACTATTCTAATTGATGTGTTCAGTCATTTACAGGTATCCTCTTCTTACAGGGCAAAGAAGTAATAAATATGTTGCTATTATAGCAGAAAGCAATATACAGAGCCGTATTATCCCTAAAGCAAACTAGGCAAGTGTCTAGGGCGCCAGGTTATAGATAGGCACCGTGAGACACGCGTGTCCATTCCCCATAATGACGGTGGCGCCAAAAAAATAGGCGAGTACCTCGCTTGCCTAGGGCGCTCTCTAGATTTAATCCGACTCTGAAGATATTGGATGGTTTTTCATAATGTTAAGTAATAAGAATGTGGCTAAGTGATTAGTTAAAGAAGAAAGTATAGCTTGGTGGCTGAAATGATATATCGCCACTAAACTAAGTATAAATGTTGCCTTTTAGAAGCATGTGTGTAATTCATGGCGAAAATTGTATAAAAAGGCATTGATACGGTTTTCAACTCGACAGCTTTCGAATATAGTAAAAATAATAACAATCGTGAGACGTACTAAATTAACTAAAAATCGCGGGTTACTCACGTGAATATACTGAGAAAAGCTCTACTAGTTTCAAACCACTGTGATTTGAAACTAGTAAAGTTTTTGTCAATATTTGCACGTGAATAATCCGCGATTTATAGTTAATTTGTATAGTAAAAAATCGATTGTATGAGTGAGTTGATACATTTTTATTACTTCTCTGTCCCAGCTCTTAAGAAATAGATTGTAAATGTCTTTAAAATGTTGTAAATGGTTGTTGAAGGGGTGTATGCAATGGTTTTTGACCGTGGTTAATCGTATAGCTACAATAAGTTAATGAAGAATTTTTAAGTGTGGGAGAGCTATGCTTCGGCACGAATCGGCCGGCTCGACCAGAGTGATACCACGGCCTCACAGAAAACCGACGTGAAGCAACGCTTGCTTTGTGTTTCGTCGTGTAAGTGAGGTTACCGGAGGCCCAATTATCCTCCCTTTCCCCAATCTGCCTAATCCTTGAATCCCCAACGATCCTCAAACTCCTAATCCCTAAAAAGCCGGTGACGCACTTGTAACGCCTCTGGTGTTCCAGGTGTCCATGGGCGACGCCGATTGCTTACCATCAGGTGATCCGTCTGCTCGTTTACCGGCTTATGCTATAAAAAAAATGAGCAACTTCATTCATTTTCAATCTTAGTGATAAACAGATATACTTGTATTCTGCCTCAGTGATCAGTTTAAAGCAAAGACGTTGTAATATCAAAGTCCTTGCTTCAAAGTGTGACTATAGAGCAAAGGATTTCTATGTGTCGACTCAGAAATCCTAAATAGTGCAATAAGTATTACTTATTGAGTTTCAGTCCGAAATTTTGAGTAATATTATAGAGATTGGAATTCAATTGAGGTACGGCAATAGCTGTCATACATTACATAGGACTTATAATATGACTAGGGAGAGCTGGATGTTATCTTGAATATCACCTCTTCTATAAGAGACTAATTGATTCTTTGTTTTAAACAGGTTGGTTCTGAAAATCATCGCTATGGACTCGAACCTTCATGTCCGGGCTACAGCATTAAGCTGAGCTCCTTTTACGTTGCGACGCACCATGAACTTCTTTCTTTGTGTTCTTGTATTGTTGTCTGCGTGTGTGTCGTGACGTAATAAACAATTTTTCTTTCTTACGTCATTGATATTACATTATCTTAATTAACCACTGATAAAAAATCTATATGAGATGGCGTGTAATGTAAACTAATGCTTAAATTCACCTGCTTTATACTGTTAAATAAGCTTCGTTACTATGGCAACCGTCATTTTAGAAAAATATCGTTTTTAATTTTAACATCAAAATGTTTTTTTTTTTAAAGTAAAGTGCTGCCATAGTGGCTTAGCTGTAACTCGTGGAACTAACATAACGACTGCAGTGTTTAGTTGTAAGAAAAATATTGTATTGTCTTAAAAACGATCACTTTTAAAAATGTATTCTACTTTCGTTAAAGAATTTTTTCATTTAATATGTTTAGAGACAAAATTTTGATTGAAAATTGTAATCTTAATTCTAAATATGTGTTGCCAATAAGGTCCTTAAAATTAATAAATAAGTGTAAGCCAATAAATTAGATGTATTTATAATAAAACATCAACATTTTGTCTCTATTATAAGAATTATGTTTAACGCCATCTATTGTCGCATACATGTAAACTTACCATCGAAGAATATGTTTTTAAAAGTGTTCTTATTAACACTATCATTCTAATGGGAAAATGAAATAAACTGATAGCAAATAAGTGTACGATTCGTGTTTTATTTACATTGTACCTACCCGCGATTTCGAACACGCACTCCTGATTTTTCGAGTTCCCGTTGGATTTTTGAGTTCCAAGTTCCCCACAAATTTTCAACCAAATCGATTGAGCCATTCTTGGAAAATTATCGAATGACTGCTCCCGCCTGGGTGAGGCGGAAGGGAGTGTCAGACTCTTACTGACTAAAAACCACCCCGTTCCTTCTCGCGCACGTCGAGCCGGAGCCCCGGTTACCCGTTAGGTTCTCCGCGACATATATATATAGACTAGCTTCAGCCCGCGACTTCGTACGCGCAATCCGCTTTTTCCCGTTCCTGGGTGTTTACTCTTGAAACCTATGTCAATGCAATTTCAATCTAATAAAATCTCAATAATTATTCAATGTCAACACTGTACAACCACAATCGTAGCTGTTACAATAGCATTCAGAGTACGGAATATAAAGACAAACTCAATACCATTTAGTTCATTCAATATCCACGCAATACGGATGCAATGGGCGCTAGTGTTGCAACTCAAGAGTACGAAATTTATAATATCAATGTCGATCGATTCTTGATTTTCAGCAAATCTTTGGAATAAAATATTTTTCGGTTAAAGTATCCTCCCCAAAAAAGGGGCAGCTCAACCGAAGTGACACCACGGCCTCACAGAAACCCGACGTGAAACAACGCTTGCGTTGTGGTAATCGTTTGAGTGAGGTTACTGAAGTCCCAATAACCTCCCCGCCCCAATTCTCTCCATTTGCCGAATCCCCAAAAAGCCGGTAACGCTCTTGTAACGCCTCTGGTGTTTCGGGTGTCCATTAGCGGCATCGATTGCTTACTATCAGGTGTGGCTCGTTTACAAGCTTATCCCATAAAAAAGTCTAGCAATGACTTGTCATGACTTGTGAAGCAATAATTCGAAAATGACATAATATTATAACTTTCGTGGGACATCCTTACTATCCTTACTAATAATATTATAAATCGGAAAGTGAGTTTATTTGTTCCGCTTTCACGCTGTAACTAATAAACCGATTGCTTTGAATTTTTGCAGACGTAAAGTTAGAAGTCTGGATTAAATAATAGGGTACTTTTTATCCCGTAAAAATTTAATATTACCGAGGGAAAACAAAAGTATTGGTATAGATGCCGCTGTGTGTATTGGTATATGTCACATATTCTACTTTTTATCCTTATGTGACGCTAGCGAAGCCGCGGGTAAAAGCTAGTACTAAATAAATTATTAGATATGTTTTCGTCTTACACACGTAACTCTTTGACGATGAACTCGACTAGTTTCAAGCCATGCTAGAGGCTTACATTAATGAGCAGCATTTTGCGACACGCGACGCGGCGATTGTCCCGCTGCTACTCGAGCTCTTCGTCAAACAGTTACATGAGTAAACCAGAAACAAGGGTATAACCTGGGTGTCTCCAAGGCCCGAGTGAATAGGTTGCTTATGGGACGACGTGCTCCATCGTAGGCCGCATCATCGTGCACTACCAGGCGAGATAGTCTAACTTCGGCCCATCACTACATAGTATAAAACAAAGTCGATATCCGCCGTCTGTCTGTCCCTATGTACGCTTAGATCTTTAGAACTACGCAACGGATTTTGATGCGGTTTTTTAGTAGGTAGAGTAATTCTTAAGGAAGGTTTATGTGTATAATACATGCATATTGCATCCGTGTGGAGCCGGAGCGGGTCGCTAGTCAAATATGTATAAAAAAACAGTGTTTAGAGCAGTTTGCAATTAAATAATCTGATTTGTACAGGTAATAAGATTTGCAAATAAAACACAAACACATTACTAAACACAAAATATATTGTACACTATAATAATTTGACAATTCTAAACAAAAAGTTCATACTACATAATGCTAGGTAATGCGAAACGTATTTGGGTGTGAATACCCGGGTGGTTCAAATTCAATCGCGGTTTATAGTCGCAGTTTTTGCATCTCGAATGGTTTCGCAAAAAAATGTACTGCGGCCTAAACCTCATCTACATTTAGTTCGTAATATAAAAAAACTAACTAAATCACGACTTTCTGAATCGTCGATTATGAAAAATCTACAAAATGTGTTCATACATAAGTTACGAGTCTCTAAACATCGGAAAAGGTCTATAATCGAGTAAGTGGAGAGCTGTAACCGTGACCGCTTAGGGCAGGGCTGTCCAAACTATACACCCTCGCTAATTAAATTTCTAACAAAATCTGGAGGGTCAGAAAAATATTTTCAGTTGTATAATGACGTTTAACATTGTATTCTTTACTCACACACAATACTTTTAGACAAATCAAACAATGAATTTTATTATGGCTGCACATAAGATGAAGATGTTGAGATTAAAATGTAGGTCGCGGGCCAAATTAAAACAAGACGCGGGCCTCATGCGGCCCCCGGGCCTTTGTTTGGACAGCCCTGGCTTAGGGACTAGCTTTACAATCACATTTCGTTCGCAAAAAACTTTCCAATTTGCAATTAGCTTCAGCTAGGCTATCCTGAAAGATATCAGTTCGAACTCTCGAAGTGAGCTGCATTGTTTTATGGGATAAGCCGGTATACGAGCCGTTGGATCACCTGATGGTAAGCAATCGGCGTCGCGCACGGACACCTGGAACACCAGAGGCGTTACAAGTGCGTTAACAGATTAGGAATTTGAGGATTGTTGGAGACTCAGCGATTGGGGAGGTTGAAGAAGAGGGGGAGGATTTGAGGCTCCGGTAACCTCACTTACCCGACGAAACACAACGCAAGCGTTGTTTCACGTCGGTTTTCTGTGAGGTCGTTGTATCTTTTCGGTAGAGCCGGCCCATTTGTGCCGAAGCATGGCTCTCCCATACTTCCTTTCTCAATCTCGGTCGAATAGCGATGGAGCTTAGTTCGAAGAGTTCGAATTGATTTCTTACATAATAGCATAGTAGCTTCACATTGAACTACGAATTTTATCCAACAGCTTTACGACTAGGAGATTTAGCTCTTGGACCTAATCTCTGATTGGGTGCTTGTAAGAAACTGGACGGTGCTGATATATTTTTTTTAGGTTTAATATCGACATGCACCATTTTTGATAAAGACAGTTGTCTGGTGAAGGACTTGTCAATTGTGCGAAAGACGAAGACTGGAGATTCTCTTATTCGAGCTGGAAGAAAGAGGTTTTAATGTTTAGTTGTTGATTGTGATACTGTTGACGGTTTGTGAGACTGTTGACGTTTGAGAGACTGTACAAATTTGTGCGGGACTGCTGATGTTCATGAGACTGTTGACAATAATGAGACTATAGACGTTCGTGAGACGTTGATATTTGTGAGACTGTTGACTTTCGAGAGGCTGTTGATGTCTGTGAGACTGTTGACATTCGAGAGACTGTTGATGGTCGTGAGACTGTTGAGGTATGTGAGACTGTTGTCGTTCATGAGACTATTTATTGATCAGTGTGAATAAGCTATCATTGGATATATTTGCTCGATAAAACTCGATTTTTCTTAGAAATACCAAAACTACAACCAATGCCAAAAGTGTCGATGCAAAGATTTTTTATTATAATCGGTTATTAATCTCTCAATCGCATAGTTGAAGAGTATTGTATATTTCGATTTTCAAAATACTCAGTGGTGAGATGACTATGACTTTTTTAAAGTAAACATGCCCGCTACAACCTCCCACAATCACTGCAACTCCCGTGCACCAGGATCTACAGTAGATACAACCATGAAAACACCGGAACACTGAAGTCCGGCGCGTCTTAAGGACATGACAGGGACTACTGTCAACGATTGTGAGACTATTGACGATCGTGAGACTATTGACGATCGTGAGACTACTGACGCTCGTGAGACTATCGACGATCGTGAGACTATTGTCTATTGTGATACTATAGGTTCGTTGCAATAATAATGAATTTAAAAAAAATGTATTACAATAATGTTCAAATACTCAAACGCCACTGAATTTTAAAAAGCGACCAACAATAGTCATGCCACTCTTTGTAAAATGACAGAGATAGAACGATATTTGAGTACAAATAATAATTTAAGCCGCATCGCGTGTCGCGGAATGCTGCTCATGAATATAAGCCTCTTTTTTATTAAGTGGGGGAAAATCATCGCATGACTTCTCCTGCGAGGCAAGAGGGAATGTCAGACTCTTACTGACTAAAAACCACCCCGTTCCTATTCCTACACTTCGAGCCGGAGCCCCAGTAACCTGTTAAGTTCTCCGCGGCTCCGTATCGGCATCAGCCCTATTGGGCCCCATCTATGGTGGTCTGATGGCTCTTTGAGGCGCGCGCAGAACGCAACGCGCCGTACGCCCGGGTTTTGTAAGCCTCTAGCATGACTTTAAACATCAAATTCCTCCTCAAAAAGTTATGTAAGTAAGCCGAAAACATAATAATTTTTTCAAATCAAATCAAATCAAATCAAATCAAATTATTTATTTGCACAAAACATGGTAGGGAACAAGATGTTGAATAAAATGTTTAAGTACAGCATGTTTTGCCGTGGAACACAGCGCGCAAAAGTATTATTAAATTAAATACATCAATATGAATGAGTCATTTTACAATATAATCAAATTAGTATTAGACAAATAAGAATTTTATGAAGATGTCAGTCAATCAAAGTGAACGTCAAGTCAATTAGGTATACATTTATAAAGAATAATATGAGATACAATTACATATTAAAATTATTTTCATTTAAGAATTCATGAATACTATAATAACATTTCTTGGCCAGAATTATTTTCAATTTATTTTTAAATAATCTTACATTACAATTTCTGATATCATTAGGAATTTTATTATATATTTTTGGCGCCATACATAATACGCTTTTTCGTGCCAGAGTAGTTTTTGCACTATGCAGACACAGTCTATTACCATTAATTTTGCGCCTGTTTCTTTTTACCACATCAGAAATTTGTTCAAATTGATGAGGGTTTTTGTGAACAAACAGTGCTGTCTCTAATATGTATAGTGACGGAAGTGTTAAAATTTTATGTGCTATAAAGGACGGTTTACAAGAGTCAGTCGAGTCCAGGTGAAACATGGCTCGTATGCAACGTTTTTGGGCCTTAAAAACCAGCGCATTATCTGTTGAGTTTCCCCAGAAGATTATCCCATACCGTAAGACAGAGTCAACAAGGCCGTGGTAGGCCGTAAGTGAAGCATCGATGTTAACTACTCGGGCCAATCTGCACATAGCGTATGCAGAACTGCTCACCTTTTTGCATAATTTTGCTATATGCGCCTTCCAATTCAACTGCCTATCGATAGTTAGGCCTAGGAATTGCGCTGATTCAACCTCGTGTATAGGGTTACTATCGTAATCTATATGAATATCATGAGGCTGAGGTCTCTGGCTAAAGTGCATAACTTGAGTTTTTAATAAGTTTACTTTAAGATTGTTATTATCTAGCCAGTTAATAATTGATTCTAAGCAATTGTTTATGTCATCTTGATATAATTCCTTTGTCTTACACTGTACAGATACAGTACTATCATCTGCAAAAAGCGACATCGGGTGGGTGGTAAATTTAGGCAGATCATTTATATAAATGATAAATAAAAGCGGACCCAGTACGCTGCCCTGTGGTACACCAAAAGTAATGCTACGCGCCTCAGACAAATAAGACTCCTGATTCTTAGTCATGATATTAATCCTAGATATAGTTGTCATCTGAGATCTATCAGAAAGATATGATTTTAGTAGATCCAGAATACTGCCTCGTATACCATAAGACTCTAATTTGTTTAATAGTATTCGGTGGTCCACGTAATCAAAAGCCTGAGTCATATCGCAATATATGGCACATATGGGAGTCCTTTTATCAACGTTTGTTAGCACTGTTTTGTAAAAATCATATATAGCCAAATTGATACTTTTGTTTTTTCTGAAACCTTTTTGCTCATCACATAGTAGTTTATTAGATTCTAAATAAGTATATAATTGGTTATAAATATACTTTTCAAAAATTTTAGAAAATATTGATAACAGTGCAATAGGTCTATAGGCTTGTAATAGTTCTTTATCACCCTTTTTATACAGTGGTTTTACAATAGTTACTTTCAAATGATCAGGAAAAACACCGTTACTAATGCATAAGTTTAAAAGATGACTTAAATGTCCACATATATGTCGGTTACAGATTTTAATAATTTTAGTTGAAATGTCATCAAAACCTACGCTGTTAGTATTCTTCAGCTCGGAAATAATTTTGTGTATGTCTTTTGGTACACATGGAGCCATAAAAATAGAATTAATCGTGCTTGCAATCCGCGATGTTACTTTTTTGCCACGACCGGATATGGGTACTATTTTATCAACAAAGTAATTATTAAAGGCATTGGCCATAACGTTGGGATCAGAAATTGTATCATTGCTCACTTTAATTTTACTTATAATGTCAATTGGGATATTTAATCTTGAATCATTTATTATTTGCCACGTAGCCTTACATTTATTGTCAGAGGATTTAATTTTATAATTGTTTTGTGAACGTTTTGTAAGTCTAATAATTTTTTTAAGTAATTTAGAGTATGTAATAAACATGTTTTTTGTTTCAATTGATGGTTTTAATCTATAATTCCATAATAGTTGGCGCTTTCTGATACTGCATTTTTTTATTCCACGAGATATCCATTTTTGTTTTTTATTTACATGTACAGTGATAGTTTTGAATGGAAAACAAAGGTTGTAGAACAGTTCGAAATGTTCGCTAAAGAAATTGTATGCCCTGTTGGGGTCAGTTTCTGCATATATCTCAGAGAATGAGTAATTATTAAGACATTTCATAAATTTTGATATATTGTCATCACAAAAATCACGAGTTCTTTTTCTCCATATCTTAATTACAGGTACCCTCCTAACAGGGAACATCATCAGCTGCGCCGTATGATCTGACAAAGCCAATTCTAGCACTTCCGTCTTACATGGTTTTTTGAAATTGTGAGCAAAATTATCGATACACGTTTTACTTATCAATCTTGTCGGTTCTCTTACAGCTAAAGTCATATTGTACGTCAATAATAAGTTCTCAAAATCACATGTTACACTGTTTTGTTTTAATAAGTCAATGTTAAAATCACCCGCGATTACACAATGTTTACAAGATTTTTTATTTAATCGTTGTAATGTAGTGTCTAGTTTACTGAAAAATGTATTTAAATTCTCTGGTTTGGGCACCCTGTAAACACATACAATAACTATACCATAACTTATAAGTTCTATTGAGCAACACTCGTACAGACCTGAAATTGACAGACTTTTTATTTCCGGTAACTCCTTCCACTGAGTCCCATTTTTTACGAGAATGCAGGCACCTCCACGTTTGCAGTGGCCCCTACCATAGATCGCTGCTAGTGTGTAGTTTGGAATTACTAAGTGGTTTTCGTAGCCGTCCATAATAAAGTGCTCAGTGATGCATATTATTTCTACTTGTATATTTTTCTCAGTAAGTTCATCCAAACATATGGTTAATGCATCAGATTTGTTTAAGAGACCAGCGATGTTTTGGTGCAGAATATAAATGCTATTGCAGACGAAAAAAGTCCGAGGATTCATTGGTGTTGGTTGTTTGCTGGTAGGAGTTTGTGACTATGTGTTTTATGTTATCGTTGGTTTGTCCAATGCAGTTATTGTCCAATAAATTCAAATCAATTAATATGTTATCCATTATTCGATTATATATATTCCTTAGTCCACTTTTGTTAATTATTCCAGTTGTGTTGGATAACATTTCAAGAGTCAGATCATAATTAGTGTCAAACAGATACGCGTAGTCATTGTTTTTTAGGTCAAGACAAAGTAATTTACCAAACATTTCTGCCTTAAAGTTGTATATGGGAGCCCCTTTGATATACGTAGGGGCACATATAACTACATTGGTGTGTTTAATTTTCTGAAGTGACTCCTTTAACGCACTGATGACGTTAATGTGTTCACTCTCATTTCTAACATCATACTGTCCTATGAAAAGAAGGCAGTAGTCTTTAATCGTATATCCCTTTAGTTTCTTATCTATATCACTTGCTAGTCGTTTAAAACTACAATTAGGCATTACATAATGACAGAAATCAAAATGGTTGGAAAAAACATCTTCAATTACGGATAAAGAACCGCTGATTTTTTCGTTACTTAGAATACACAGTTTATTTCTTACTTTTGTATTCATGGAAATGCTTTTATTTTGTTCATTTGTGTTACTGTTTAGGTCATTAACTGATGTAGACATATGTGGGTATTCTGATGTTAAAGTATTCTGTACTTCACTACAAGTTTCAGTTGTTTGGGTTTCTTTGTCGTGCTTGTTTTCCGCCCTTTCAAAGATGTCTATTCCAACTTCACTGTTAAGATTTAATGTTTTTTGTTTACGAGTTGGTGTTTTAGATTTTTTGCTAGGTGTCGAGCATATTTTCTTATACGTATTTGACTTTTTTATCATCTCTTGAAGATCGCTTTTTAATCTAAAGTTTTCACTATTTAAATTTTCAATTTCTTGATGTGCGCTTAACAACTCCATGGTAAGTTTTTTATTATGTTCAATTAAAGTATTCATGGTCTCACTGTCGTCATTAAAGCTATCTGGTATACTCATCATAGTCGTGTCAAATATAATCTTTTCATTCATTATCGAAGATAAATCGTTCAATGAGTTCACTTTAAACGGTTTTCGTTGTGTAATGTTATTATTAGAGCTATTAGGATCCATTTCTGTAGAGTATTAATTTGTTTTATTTTATAGAATGCAATGTCCAAGATTTTTTTTTCCTATTTATTTACTATTATCAGGAAAAATATTTTATAAACTGGTATCCCTAATAACTACCAATCGCCCTCTGGTGGGCAGTAGCGTTATTATTTTGTAGTTCAACTTTCTACCGCCTGAACCGTTTTGTGCGATGTTATGGCGCTAGTGGTCGGTTGAGATGTTGTTAGGTTGGTAAGACAGCGAAGTCACTTTAGTGCGTCTATTCGCCACTAGGACAGTTTTTTATATTGTTTTGGCGCTAGTAGTTGTTTTTAACTACGGTGATATTGGTAGCACTGGTAAGTGGTATTGTTTTTGAATAAAATTAACGACTTAAAAAAAGCAAAAATCTTACTTGAAGATACTAAGTATTTTTGTTCACTGTTAATAATCGGCGGTTTCTTCATGCAATGCACTAAAAGTATTATTATTGATAAAGTTCCAATGTGTCACTCTTTACATAGTTTATAGGTATACGGTTTTTGTATTCACTACATTTTTTCTGTAACTGTTTATTAACACGATAATATCACAGGAAAACAATGTCACTTGTTGAATAAGTTATTAAGACTTTAATGATGGTATTATCATAAGGAATCACTGAGTTTAAAGATTTTTATAAATTTTTCATTACGGAACCAATGTTTTTTAGGTACAACTTTAAATCGAGTACCGTTTCAGTATTTGGGCGTAAAGTCTAATAAAAAAGGAACTTACGTTGTAGCTGCCTATTTTTATACCCTCGGGATTTCATGGTTGGTGGCAAGCTATAACGGCTGATCAGACTCTCGGAAATCCTGTTCTTTAGAGCATTATTGCGTTTGGAGTTAGGCGTTGGTTGCTTCAGTTTTGGTAGGATCACAGCTCTGAATAACATGACAAACATATTAATTAAACATCTATAAAGCGGAAGAGTTTAAATTTTTGTTTGTTTGTTTGAACGCGGTAATCACCGTTACTACAAGTCTGATTTGAATAATTTGTTTTGTGTTGGATAGCGCATTTATCGAGGATGACTGTAGGCTATAAAACATCACGCTACGACCAATAGGAGCTGAGCAGAGCGTGTGACACCGCGCAGAAGTAGTTAGTAATATATAAAAATGAAACCCGTTTCCCGTTGTCACGCCATAACTTGAGAATGGCTGGACCGATTTGGCTGATCTTTTTTTGTTCTGTTTGTTATTATCAGGAGAAGATTCTTACGACAGAAGAAATCCTGAAAATCTAACGGGAACGGGAGAAAACGGGATTGCGCGTACGAAGTCGCGGGCAGAAGCAAGTTAAACACAAAGTATAAGATACCCATGTTTCCGTACGAATAGGGTAGTAGACATTGTATGAAAATTAAAAATGTAATTAGTCCGTCAGTTAGGTAATGAAAAAATATTAGACACGTATTTTTTTATTTTCTCGTATAAGAAAACAATACTTAGATAAAACGGAGTTAAGTTAAAGAGTCGTTACCCTATAAAATTTAAGTTGGCGTGGTGGCTGGACAACTGACTGGCGCGCACCGTGTAGCGGGTTCGATTACCGCACGGAGCTCTTTGTGTGATCCACAGATTGTTGTTCCGGGTCTGTGTGTCATGTGTATGTGAACTTGTATGTTTGTAAACGTACACACGACATAGGAGAAAATCCTAGTATGGTGTCCATGGGTGGTGCCGATTGTTTACCATCAGGTGATCTGTCTCCTCGTTTATCGTTATCGGCCCTATTCCATAAAAATAATACAATGAAGCTGAGTTGGCTGCGCGAACTTTCTCGCACAAAGCTCTCCATGAATACGAGCCCCCAACGGGGCTTGTAACTAGTCGAGTTAACTCGTAAATAAGTTGTTAAACATCACTACATAGTTCATAGTATAAAACAAAGTCGCTTTCTCCGTCCCTATGTCCCTTGGTATGCTTAAATCTTTAAAACTACGGAACGGATTTTGATGCGTTTTTTTAATAGATAGAGTGATTCAAGAGGAAGGTTTATATGTATAATACATGCATATTGTACCCGTGCGAAGCCGGGGCGGATCGCTAGTAATAATTAAATTGGTGTTTCATGACAGTTATAAAACAAAAAATTAAGAAGTCAACTAACCTGTTGGCAATTATCCGTTTGTTGCTAAAGACGCCATATTTTAAATGTGGTGCCGTTGGATCTGGTCCTCTTACAGCTGAATAGGATTGGCTTTTTATTTTTGGAGTGCTAACGGGTCTTCTTGGACCGTGGAAGAGTCTGTAACCAAAAATTATTATACCCTGGGAATTTTTCTTTTAAAACCGTCTTATACGATACCTATATTATTTTTAAGTGTGGGAGAGTCATGCTTCGGCACGAATGGGCCGGCTCGACCGGAGTGATACCACTGCCTCATAGCAAACCGACGTGAAGCAACGCTTGGGAAGGGAAGGCTAATTGGGCCTCCAGTAACCTCACTGACACGACGAAACACAACGCAAGCGTTGCTTCACATCGGTTTTCTCTGACGCCGTGGTATCAATCCGGTTGAGCCGGCCTATTCGTGCCGAAGCATGGCTCTCCCACACTTTATTAACTAAATCCACAAATTAACTAAAAATCGGGGGTTACTCATATCAATATACTGAGAAAAGTTCTAAGGGTTCTTCCTCATGAGCAGCTAGCGCGGTCACGGCGATGTCGCGTAGCCTACTGACCCCTCTGTGGTTCAAAACTAGTAGAGCTTTTCTCAGTATATTCAGGTGAGTAACCCGCAATTTTTAGTTAAAAACGCAGTAATATAACGTTGGTGCTAAACAATGAAATAAAAGGACGGTACTTCAGGCCGAAACAAACGACACAGACAATGAAATGAAATGAAAAATGTTTATTCGGCATAAGACATGCACGCCAGAAAAGACATAAATATAAAAAAAGCATAAAAACAGAAAAATTAAATGATAAAAGTTAAATTATAAAACTAAAACTAAAACTAAAGCAAGCCAATAAGCCATTCAAGTGCGCGGTGTTGGCGGACATGTCCAATCCGAACGGGTCACCAACTCAGTATAAAGCTGGGCACAATGAGCACCCAACACTGATTTTCAGTTGGCACCCCTGCAGTGACGCACGGACGAGAGCAACACATACTTGTAATCCACATAATTATGTATAGAAACTTTGTTATTAATAATGTGCTACAATAATTTTGGAGTTATGTGTGTAATGTGTGGATCACTACACAATCACTACTTAGTATAAAACAAAGTAGCTATCCGCCGTCTGTCTGTCCCTATGTATGCTTAGATCTTTAAAACTACGCAATGGATTTTGATGCGGTTTTTTTTAATAGATAGAGTGATTCTTAAGGAAGATTTTTATTTATAATACATGCATATTGCACCCGTACGTGTCCATATTTATAAATATACATCCATCATCATCATCAACAGCCTATAAATGCCTACTGCTGAGCAAAGCCTCTTCTCACACGGAGAAGGTTTGAGCATTAATCACCACGCTTGCTCAATGCGGGTTGGCGATTTCAAACTTATAATTAGAAATTATAGGCCCAGGTTTCCTCACGATGTTTTCCTTCACCGTTTGTCAGTGGTGTCTGAATAATCTTAGAAAGTACATATAACTCGGAAAAAGTCACATTGGCACTTGCCGTTGGTAGTTTTCGAAACCGCACCCTCATGCATGAGAAGCGGGCGTCTTAAACCTTCGGGCCACCACGACATATAAATATACATTAGATTTATTGTAAAATATATATATATATATATATGTTACAGTCACATATTTTATCGCTCACTTTATTTATATTTGTGACTAATAATATTGTCTAAGTATTTCAAACACTAAAATGCCGAATAGTAATATTATGGATTGATTTGGTTTTCGAACGTGGCAACACTATCCCTGTCGGGTATTCGCGCGGTTTTGTTTTTGACAGCAACAGATTAATTTTTGTAAAACAACATAAAACAAGTGAATACAAATTATTATTGAAGAAGTCTGAGTTTTAATTAAGATCACCATCCTTCTGAGCGTTATATATATATATAACATGCTACTAACCTGCAGGTCCTTATAGGGCTGTGTTTCTTCAAAATTGGTGCAACATCAGAGTTCCAAGATTGCAAATAGGGGGCAGGGTATGTTATCTGTCTGTATTCAAGAAGTCGGAGTTCAGAGGGCGTCGCGGAGAACCTAACGGGTTACCGGGGCTCCGGCTCGACGTGCAGGAGAAGGAACGGGATGGTTTTTAGTCAGTAAGAGTCTGACACTCCCTCCTGCCTGGCCTGGGTGAGGCGGGAGGGAAGTCATTCGATGATTTTCCCCCATTAAAAAAAACGTTCAGAGGGTATATTTATAAATAAATTAATTAAAAATAAAAATGCCCTGTAGTCCAGTAATTAGGTACAATTTTAGATACGGATGGCATGGGTGTGGCATTTAAGTGTGGGAGACCCATGCTTCAGCACGAATGGGCCGGCTCGACCGGAGTGATACCACGGCCTCACAGAAAACCGACATGAAGCAACGCTTGCGTTGTGTTTCGTCGTGTGAGTGAGGTTACCGGAGGCCCAATTACCCTCCCCTTCCCGATCCACTGCCCGTTTTTTTTATTGCATAAGCCGGTGTACGAGCAGACGGATCATCTAATGGTAAGCAATCGGCGTCGCCCATGGACACACGAAACACCAGAGGCGTTACACAAGTGCATCACCGGCCTTTTGGGAAATAGGAATTTGAGGATTGTTGGGGATTCAGGGATTGAGGAGATTGGGGAAGGGGGGAGGGTAATTGGGCCCCGGTAAACTCACTCACACGACGAAATACAACGCAAGCGTTGTTTCATGTCGGTTTTCTGCGACGCCGTTGTATCACTCCGGTTGAACCGGCCCATTCGTGCTGAAGCATAGGTCACCCACACTTAAATTAATTTTTGGCTGTGATATCAGACTAAGCATTAAATCTTTATAAAATACTATGATAATGATAATTGGTGATGATACATTTACGACATTTTACCGACAATAACAACAGTAAAAACTTACATCGTTTTTGTGTTCCTAAATTTAGGTATTTCCATATTATTTTTTCTAGTTCTTTTTTTAATTATTTATATTATTTTTCTTATAAAATTATGTATTTATTTTACTTTATTGTCGTATCATGGCTGTTTAACATCAAAAATGAAATATTTCATTTATTACGTCATTCTTTGACTTTTAAAATTCCCGCGCCATATTTTAATTTTGACGTTTCGTTCTTAAATTACTTCTCGAACGTAGAACTATAAAACCAATTTTACATTTACCTTACTATATTTATTGTTAATTGACTGTTTTTTAATCTTTAATGATTTGTATTAATATTGGTAATACATTAGATTGGTTTCGAAATGTAATTTCATTGTTTAAAATTATTTTATCGTTTCCGAACGTTGAATAAATAAAGACAACCGAGACAGCCAGACGAATTCCAGGAAATGCCTCTGAGTGTGGTTAACTTATAAAAATTCCACGTATGTGGGCAATATTATATCTGATATGGCAAAGAATTGTTAGTAAAATGCTAAGTATCACTAAATCATCGATCAATTTTAGATTAACAGTTATAATGATGGAAGAACTAAATCTTTTGAACATCTTGTGATAACTTCATTGCACGAGTGAAGGTCTATGACTGTCTGTCATACTAGTCATCTTGTTTTTTCATCTCTCATTGCTGAAACAAATCTTATTAGATAAGGTAAATAAAAGGTCAAAATCCTTATCAAAGAAGATAAGGTGACCTAATTCGTCAATGATAGGGAGAATTTAAGCGGGTATTTATAAAATTACGTCTGGTATCATTTAAAATGTCAATCAACGCTGCGCGGGTCGCGGGGAGGTATGTTTTTGCATGAGTTTCCTTGAAGTTCATTTTTTTGTCATCAGTTTTTTGTCTCTCTCATACTGTACCGGTGTGTAAATTATCGCAAAAATAATGTTAAACAACCACTAAAGCTTAATGTGATGACAGGATTAGTAAAAAGTGATTAATATCGAGATATTTTGATACGAGAAATGTAAGTAAATACGTGTACTAAAATTAAAACTGCTATGTACGTGTGCGTTGTTGCGCTGTGTGTTCGTATTGGTGTTGAGTGTGTGCGTCAAAATTTCTTGGAATTGGCTCAGGGCGTTCGATACAGGTAAACTGTCGGGTCAACTCACCCCTGGAATTGCATAAATGTGAAAAAGTTGTTAATACTATTGGCATTTTGGAAAGGTTACCTTTGCCTAGTTTTTGTCATAGTGTCATAAAAGTGGAAGTTGTAGTTTGTGGCGCAGTTAGCGTTTGAAAACTTTTTAAAATACGTTTTTCGTGTTAAAATGTGCTGCTAAAGAGGTAAATTCTTATTGTTTAACTTATTATAATTTTTGTGTTGAGTGTCCTAGATAATCTAGGCATACTTTGAACATGCTGACCATGCATTCTTGTGTGAAATTCTGTTATTAAAGTGGTGGCAATATGTTAAGTTAAAAAGTCAGTTTGGTCACTGTTTTTCTCTATTCCTGTCTCCTACATACTAGGGTAGTTTCCAAAAATCTAGCTTTCACTGTCCCTAATAAGATTTGCATGATAGTATTAGATTTGTAGTATTAAAGCCTTTGTCTCATATTCTACACCTCAAGTTGAACTCCGGGCTCCTTATACTATTGTCATTTAAAGTATTCATAATACTATACTTAGATAAACTCCTGTCTTTGTCTCATAGTAAATAGAAATTACACATACATATTTATCTTGACAAACTAGCTTACCAATCATAAGTAATCTGGACAACCCTTGTCATCGTCAACAGTATGATGGTGTGTAGGTGGCAGTCCACAGTTGGACGATGAGCCTCCACGACATAAGAGGATCTGTCAGAATCTCTGCACGCAGGCGAGTTAGAGATTGCAGTATAAAAGGTTCAGGTTTATCTAACCGGCGTCAAGGCTCGAGAGATTAGGTTTCTTATAGGCAGATGTGCTCCATCGTAGGCCACATCATTGCTTACCACCAGACGAGATAGAGGACAGACATCAGCCCATCAAATATAAAAAAAAAACTACAGCGTATTGCTGCCTGGTCGCTGTCAAATACCTTAGGCATTTAGGGTTAGATTTTTCTAGAACTCACTAGCTAATTCCTGAAGTAAAAGTTGTTTTCATGTAGTAGCATTCATGAGAATGCAGGTAGCTTCCACCTAACCAATGTGCAATCCCATAGAAAATTCTGATTAGTACAGTTAGGGTTTGTACTTAAACTGTCAAACACCGAGCGGTCACCGGTGACCGCAACCTATTGTTCTATAATTGTGTCTATAATGACGGTACTCGACGAGTTAAGGTAGAGCTGCGGAAGACTCGGGCTCGAAAGGCAGGAGCAGGAACTGGCTGGGTTTTAGTCAATTAGAGACTGACACTCTCTCTCGCTTCACCGAAAACGGGAAAAATCAATATGGTAGTTGACAACTAGTAAAATTCAATACTTTTATCAAAACGTCAAAAACGATATTGTTCTATGAATTTTGTACGCAATACCATCTTATGACGTCATCATATTTTTGCGTCAAATAGCACACTTATATCTAAGAGAATGGTAGACTAAATTGAAAATTAGGTATAACGGCAAATCAATGAATGAAAGTGTAACTATTTTTCAATATTTAATTGGACTGAAAAATCTAAATAATTTATTTTTGACACAGGAAACTACCCAAATCATAGTATAGTAATCGTAGTATAGCTACTGACTATTAGGTACATGGGACTTATAGCATAACTGATGAATAGTAGTTGTTACATTGTATATCTGTCTACTGCTTTGGAAAACAAATGGTATGATGATACATAACATCACACATTTTATCCCCGAAGGTTTAGGCAGAGGTGTACATTACAACACTTAATGCCATAAGTCCCATGCAATAGGGGGTGAACCTATTACCATATACCAGGCACAGACTCCATGCTACTTCTAAGAACTTTATATAAAAACTCAGTAATACTTTGCCCGACCTGAGAATGGAACTAGAGACCCCTTGCATGACAGGCGTACTTGCTCAGCCAGTGAGGCAGTGTGATGATATGTTTATAAAGTTAGTAATTCAAAGATAAGATGGAATTGTGCCCGGTATATGGCAATAGGCTCACCCCCTATTACATGGGACTCATAACATAAATAGTGAAAAGTGGTTGTTACATTGTACAGTGGCATAATGTACACCTCTGCCTACCCCTTCGGGGATAAAAGGCGTGATGTTATGTTATGTAATTCAAAGATATACATACTTACTTAGTACGGTTCTGTGCTTAGCCTATATAACAATGGAGTAGCATGCCTTGCCAAAAAAATTCTCACAGAAGATTTTTTACATAAAATACTTATAATTTATGTAAAAATAGAAAATCTTTTCAGGCAACTCCTCATGCCCTAAATAGGTTGCGCAGAACCTAACAGGTTACCGGGGCTCCGGCTCGACGTGCAGGAGAAGGAACGGGGTGGTTTTTAGTCAGTAAGAGTCTGACACTCCCTCCCGCCTCACCCAGGCGGGAGCAGGCAGTCGATGATTTTGCCACCTTAAAAAAAATGCCCTAAATAGAGTACCTTATTTACTTTTATTTTTATTAATTTTCTGCCAAGCTTTGAAAGCATGCTTTACGCGGGAACAAATCGTTTTATATTTTGACTTTATTTATTTATTTATCATTTTATGTACCTACACCACACAGACAATATTACACAGGACAACACATTATAAACATGAGGTAAGTACATAGGTACTGCATATCCCTTAAGGGATTTCTTCCTGCAGACCTGCGACAGGAAAAGGAAATTAAACATAAGACTTTTGTGATTACTGGAATATAAATTGGAAAGTTTTTATTAATTTTTGCTTAGACACGTTAGGGGCCCCTGTAGTGGGGCCCCATATAATTGATACGGTAGATACTGTGCTAGCTAGGCCCCTACTATGTAAACACATAGATTGACGTTATATGTACGTTTGCATAATAGAAATCTTGAACAAACATTCAGAGCTATTATGTCGTCTAACAAAACATCAATATTTAATATTCCTGCCTAGCTTAGTTATATAAATAGTTATTTATGACATGTCAGTCTTCCAACTTTCACAAAATTATTTTTAAATCTAGGTGTTTCCATATTATGTTTACTAACGAACTCTTTAGCACCTTTTTCTTATTTTTTTGAATAAGAATAATCGTCCAATGTGTTTTCCCGCCCGGTTTCACTCACTCTGCTCGGCGCCTATTAATCGTAGCCTTCCTCGATAAATGGGCTATCCAATACAGAAAGAATTCTTCAAATCGGACCAGTAGTTTCGGAGATTACGCGCTCAAACAAAAAAACAAACTTCAGCTTTATAATATTATAGTATAGATTCCCGATTCTGTAAGAAAATTAGGATAAAAAAGGTTAAGTTTAAATATAAAATAATCCTGTAAGTGGCCAATGCTGACCAAATGCATCTTCTCACACGGAGAAGGTTTGAGCATTAATCACCATGCTTGCTCAATGCGTGTTGACGATTTCAAACTTATAATTAGAAATAATAAACCCAGGGTTTCCTCACGATGTTTTCTTTCACCGTTTGTCAGTGTTGTCTAAATAATCTTAGAAAGTACATATAACTCGGAAAAAGTCACATTGGTACTTGCCGTTGGTAGGTTTCGAGCCCGCGCCCTCATGTATGGGAACTGGGAAGCGGGCGTGTTAAACCTCCGAGCTAACACGACTTTAAAAAGTGTTATAGTGAAACAAGTGAATTTATTTCTGCAAATAGGCTACAAGGCAGCACTTTTACACGTCAATTTTATCAAGCGAACGATGAGGCCGATATTTCCTAACTGACTACTCTGAGGTCTGTCTCTTTTAAAGTCCAGACAAATGTGTATAAAAGATTATGTGTGAGAACCGTGCAAGTTCTTTCTGTAGTGGCCTTTTGAGAAAAGAACCACAACAGTTTGAGCGAACCCGGTCTGAAGGCAGTACGCATGTGTCGGTTTACAATCAGCTCAATTAACAGGTGAGGCTGACTGATTCGACGAACAATACCA